TCAGTTGACTGGAGAATCATCAATTAAATAATAATTTTACTTTAAATATATTTTTTGATTTTTGGATTTACAAAATAGCAAGAACTGATAAATAAAGGCATCTCATCAGCTATGTTATATGCATCCTCCGAACAACCATATAATGTTCAAGAAACAATCTTTTCTGAAATTGCCTCAGGATTTATACGAATTCTACTTGTTACACCAGAAAAATATATTAAAAATCTAGCATTTGCTTGTATGTTACAAAATATTGCACATAGCCGTGGATTACAATTTGTTGTCGATGAGACACACTATATAAATAATTATGCTTATTTTCAATAAGTTATATATATCAAGCAAAAATATATAATTTAATATTTAATATATACGTATTGTACTTTATAGAATAAAGCCTTTTAGATCCAAAAAATTTGATCTTATATAAATATTAAAAACAATAAAATATATAAAAAAAATTTAAGATTACTAAAAAAAATTAAAATTTTATTAGAAATGATTGGACGAAATTGAGTTTACTTAAGCAAAACTTTCCTTCCTCTCCAATTCTTCTTCTTACTGCAACCTGTAGTAAAGATAATGTTCAAAAAATGACAGATAGTCTTGGATTGTCAGATTTAAAAATATTTCGAAATCCTATAATATATCTGAAATTCGATTTGAAGTTTTAAATAAGCCAGTACAAAAAAAAACCAGTCAAAAATATTAATAGATCTCATAAGTTTAGTTTTTCCAGGTCGATGTATAGTTTATTCTGCAACTATTAATGATTGTGATACTTTTTATAATATTATTGTAAAGCATTATGGATCAAATATCGTTGGAAAGTATCATAGATCTATGCCAAGCAAAGATCAGAGTAGAAATTTAGAATATTGGAAAAGTAATAAATTTAAATTAATTTGTGCAACAACTGCATTTGGAATGTGTTTAAATGTAAGTGATGTATGTGCAGTTATTCATACCACTTTTCCAATGTCTATTGATGCATTGTTTTAGGAAGCAGGATGTGCAGGTCAGGATGGAGCAATGGCAAAAAATATTATCATATATTCAAGTTTAGATATTCGTACAC